CCTGACTTGGTGGGAAGGTACCAGTGGGTAAGTGCTGGGGTCCGAGCTGCTGGGTAGGACTGGCTGGCACGGACATCAGCCCTGCAGCTGTGCAGGTCCCTCAACGTTTCACTGTCAAGAACTGAACAACACAGGTCAAGAGGACTCTCAATACAGCTTCTCTGCAAAGATGGAAGTGATGTGACCAGTCTTTTAGAATTGTGAATAATTGTGTGATCATCCCTTTTCCCCTTCTCAGAAAATTTTCTGGAACTCACGAGAAGCTTTGACCCGACAGTCTGATCTTAATCCCCCAGGCACTCCATTCTCCCAAGAACAAGCTCGTTAACAACAGACCATCTTGACAGTACAATCCTTATTGGTTGGCTGGTCCACTTTGTTTTTACATGTTACCCTGTCTTGTGACTTATTCATTAACATTCAGATTAGTCAGGAAAAAACCCTCTGAAATTGCTCTTGAGGGCTTGCTAAGTGGTTTCACAGGCATTCAGAACCTAGGTTCTAGACCCAGCTCTGTCTAAAATAAGCCATATATGACCTTGGGAAAGTCCTGCAGTCCCAGAATGTCAGAGCACGACAAGACCTCAGGGACATTTAGTTCACGCTCCCTATTTTGGAGGTGAAGTCTCTCAGTGGCTCCCTTGGCCTACAGGATAAAGTACGTATGGCATTCAGAGTCTTTCAATATCTGGCCCCTATTTCCTTCTTGGGATTTGATTCTGGCTGCGTGCTCTCTCTCTCTTTTTTAATTTTCTGCTCCATCAACAACTAACTACAAGAGCATCTTCTGAGTTCTCATCCACATTGCTCCCCTTTGCTCCTTTGCCCATGCTGTCCCTCTGCCTTATTCCCCCATCTTTTACTCTTTCCCTGATGAAATGCTACTGGCTCCTCCTTTCACATTCAGCTCACATACCAGTTCCTCCAATGAGTCCAGGATGAACCCCACCCCGGGTTAGGCACCCATTCTCAGTGCTCCCATAGAAACTTGTGCCTTTCTTCATCATTCTACTTTTTATTTAACACTACAATTGTCTGTCTTCTTGACACCCTCCTCTGCAAAATTGAGCATCCACGATAGGCCCCCCTCAGAAATTCTAGGATGGGGCCTGACTCCTAGAAGATGTTGGGTAAATATCTATCAAATAATAAAAGAGTAGGGCCTGGTGATCAGCTGTCTCAGAGTTTACTCTCAAAATCAATAAGAACATCTTTGGAGCATCCACTATACGTGAGGCACAGTGAATAAGTAGTTACAAAGTGTGTTGTCACTTACCCCCAAGGGCCTTGAGTTTCTCCATTGCTAAAATGGTAGTTGTTAGACTGGTTGGTCTTTGAGAAATCTCCCAACTCCTACATTTTATTATTCAACGATTTGCTCAAATCACTTGACTATTAAGAGGCAGAAGTAAACATAAACACAGGTCTTTCAACTACAACTCCAAATCTCATTCATCAAAATTCAAGTACCATTTTGTAAGCATCCCAACTGAAAAGCATTCCCAGCTCAAAAACGCTATGATTCTCTCTTGCCAAGACCGTTGACTAAGTGAAAACTTACCTGGTTGAGGGAATGCAATAGGGGATCTCTCAGATTTAGAAAAAGAAAAACTCATCAACCTCTCTCTGTTTGGGTATCTAAACTATATAATAAAACATATTTTTATAGAATTCCATTGAGCCTTATGTCTATAGGGGGAGAAGGACAATTTCTTGTAACTAAAAAGAATGAAAGATATCTAATGCTTCAGATATCTATTGATGCAAAACAAACCACTCCAAAACAGAGTGGCCTAAAACAATAACCATTTTTCCATAGCTCACCATTTTGTGGGACAGGAATTTGGGCAAAGCTCAGCTGGGTGGTTCTTTTGTTCTATCGGGTGTTGATGAAATTCATTCAGTGGCATCTCACTGGTGGATGGGCTGGTCTGGAGGGTCCTGCTTCTAGCCTTGCAGGAATGCTAGAAGGCTAGGCTTAGCTGGAAATGTCAACGGGAGCATCTACATGAGGTGTCTCCAGCAGGAAAGCCTTGGGGAATAGGCCTCTTTCATAGGGGCTCAGGGCTGCAAGAGCGAGTGTTCTCACAAATGAGGTGGAAGCCATGTGGCCTTTTACGACACAGCCTCCAAAGTCACACAATGTCATATGTGTCATAATATTTTGGCCTAAGCAGTCACCATTCTGCCCAGATTCAGTGGAAGGGAACACAGACTCCACCTCTTGATGGGAGGAATGTCAGAGAATGTGTAGCCAAGTTTTAAAACCACCAAAGCAACAGTAAAACTGTCCAACAGTAAAACCATCACAGTAACATACACTGAACACTACTGTGCACCCAACAGCATGCTGGATCATGAAGATGTATTATCCTCATCATACCTCCTGCCTGGGCTGCTCCCTTAAACTCTAAACCCCAATATCCAGCTGCCTACTCGGCCCCTCAACTTACAACTTACTCTAAATCAGACTCCTGGCCTCCTTCCAAACCTGTTCCATCTTAGACCATCTCATTCAGCACTGACTCCCTTCTTCCAGGTGCTCAGGCTTTACACCTTGGAGTCATTGATGATTCCTCATTGTCTTTCACGTTTTTTGTCCAACCCACCAGTAAGCCCTGTTGACTCTACCTTCAACATATATCCAGAATCTGACCATTTCTAGCCAGCTTTACTGCTAAGACCCTGGTGTGAGCCACTATGCCCTCTCGCTTGGATTACGGCAATAGCCTCCTTGCTGGTGAGCTAGCTTCTGCTCTTGCTCTCCCTGTCATCTATAATCAAGACAATAGCCAGATGGTCCTTTTAAAACGTAAGTTGGATCATTCCATTACACAACTCACAACACTCAGGTGGATCTTCATCTCAGTCAGAGGAAAATCTGAAGTTCCTACAGTGGCCTCCAGGGCCCTACGTGGTCTGACTACTACCTCTGATCACTTTCTCATTTGCTTCCTCTGCACCAGCATTCTGGCCATTTTACTGCTCCTTGAACACACCAGAAATCTTCTGTCTCAGGGCCTTTGCACTGGCTGTTCTCTCTCTGTAGAACGTTCTTCCCTAAGATACCACGTGGCCAACTCCCTCACCTCCTTCAAGTTTCTGCTCAAATGTCACTTTACGTTGATGCTTTTCTTGAAACTATCCCATTTAAAATAGCAGCCTGTGCTGCTGCCTCACCATCCTTAGACCCTTCCCTGCTGTTTCTACATTGCACTTGCTGCCGTTTGACCTAATATATATATATATATATATATGTTTATTTGTCTTCTCCACTAGGATATAAATTTTCTAAAGGCAGGCATTTTTGACTGGTTCACTGCTGTATCTGTAGCACCTGAAACAGGCCCTCACAACAGTGCAGGTGCTCAGTGTATAAACAGTGAACAAATATTTTGTTGACTTTTTAAAAATAAAACAAAATCCTCCTTTTAAGATGAGAAATAACCCATATTTCTCTTTTGATCTTTTTCTCTTTTCCCTGAGCAGAAAAAGTTGCATAAGCACTTTAGCTTATCCCATAACCACATTAGCTTATCCCATAAAAATGTCATTAGCTAACATTCCCTTTCGTATATTTTTCTCGAAATTGCCTAATTCTACCTGTTTTCCTGCTGTCATCCTTGCTAGCGGTGCCTGGCTTATAGCTGGCACTCAGTACTTGTTATTGACAAATCTAAGTTCATGCTCCAGCTCTGCTACCGGCCAGCTGTGTGATATTGAGCAACTGACAACGTTCTGACCGTCAGTTTCCTCCCCTGTGAAAAACGGGGCAAATGGCCTCGACCTCACTGTGTTGTCATGAAGATAAACTGAAATATGGAGGCCAGTACATGTCCTGGCACATCAGAGAGGGCAAAATGTAAGTGAGTTTCTTTTACTTACGACCACCTAAATCGATTCAGCCTGACATTTTTCCATCAAGGAGAAGCTTCTCAAAAGTTGCTAAACCGCAAGGCAGGGGGAGAGAGAATTCAGAGGAGGGGAGATGGAAGCGATACCCGTGTGCCCTTGCTCACTCTTTTCCAGAACTCAGCTAATCGGACTGGAGTGATCTGCCACAGGGAGAGAGATGTCCCGTGCCCGGAGACAAAGGAGAGATTTTCCTGGCGGGTGACGGCTGAAAAGGTTCCTCTGTCCAGATTTAAAACCAAACCTCTGGGAGTGAAACCACATGATTCACAGGACAAAAATGACTTGACTCCAAATGCATAATAAAGACGAAATGGAAGCAACCCAGCCCCCTTGGAGAAAAACTGACTTATTGAAGAGGGGAATAAAGGGGGTGGAGAATTGGAGAAGGAAAAAGGAAGATGTGGTCAGTCAGGTGGAGAAATTCTCCAACTATGCAAATAGCACGCTGCCATCCAAGGAGAAGGGAATTCCAGCGGGCTTTGCGCTGGGCACCTGGCCACACGTCATTTCTGTTTTTATAAGCACCTCCAGTAATCCCACAAACGAGTTATTCTAGTAGTAATCCTATTTTACCAGCAGAGAACCCAGGGAGCTCAGGAGGGTGAACTCACTTGCCCCAGACCACACAGCTAATGAGGAGCAGAGCCCACAGCAAAGCCACAAGCCAGGAAAGAGCCGGCACAGCCCTGCCCTCTGACCGGGAAGCCCGCTTATCGCGGGGAGGGCCCACGCAGTCCAGGAGGGCAAGCAAACAGAGGAGCTGACAGGCACTGCAGACCCAGGCTGGGGAGCAGGCTGGAAACCCAACTGGCGGGGTTAGAGCTAGGATCCCTCATGCCACCATTCCTGAGAGCCTCTGTCCCCTCACCCCCCGAAGTGGCACAGGACGCAGTTCACACCCCGCTTCAGCGCCAGCCGCCCGGGAGCGAGGCCAGTGTGGGCTGGCGGCGCTCACACCGGACGTGTTGACTCCCCTCCGGGAGGCAGAGACACAGGCAGCCCTTCCCCACGGCTCTTTATCTCCGGGAAACTAGACCCGGCAAGAAAGGACACAGAAAGACGACAACCAAACCGACACGCCTTACCCCGTCCATAGCTTTCCCCGGAGGCAGAGGCTGGGAGACAAGCCCCGCTTCCCAGAGCGGGATCCTGGGGCCAGGAGTCCGCTCCGCTCTGCCCGCGCCGGCCAGGGAGCAGTCACTCCCCGCGGCGCGGGACACACCTGCGCCCAGGCTCCCCACCTGCCCCACCTGGGCGCCGGCTCCTCCCTCTCCCGGGGCTGGAGCTTTCCCGCCGCCGCCGCCCGCGGGACCGGGGCGCAGTCCGGCCTCCATCCTACAAGCTTCGCGGGACGAGGCACCTGCAGCGGGGAAGGGGGACCCCTCTGTCCGAAGACCCGCCGACCCAGGCCCTTCTCAGCATGCGGCTCTTCCAACTGTTCTCCCCCAGGCTGGTCCCACAGTCCCTCTCCAGGGCAGTTCACTGTGTGCCCGAGGCACGGGGAGTTAGTCAGGACCGGGGGTGGCTCCGTTCCTGTTGGTACAGAACGCTCGGGCTGGACAATGTTATCTCCATTAGGAACAGCCCGGGCCCAACCCGCCCCTGCCCTCGGCTGCTAACTTCCCAACACGCTTTCTCACCGGCAGGGAAACCAAGGCCCAAAGGGACCAGAGCTGCCTAACCTCAAAGGGGGACTTTGTGGAGGCCACAAAGGGAGCTGCTATAACGGAGCACCTGTTGGGGCCAAGCACTATCTAAGCATTTGGATACATTATTACTTGTAAACTTTACCATAGCTCTGGGAAGTGCTATTATTCCCATTTAAAGGGAGAGGAAACTGAGGCTCAGAGCGATCCTATAACCTGCCCACAGTGGGTCACAGAGGTAGTAATTTGAAGCATCAGGCTTTGAACACAGGTCCGGCTGACTCTAAAGTGATTTTGTTTTTCCGTTTTTTGCTTTTGTTGTTGCTTTTGCTTTTGTTTGTTTTTCTGGCAGAGCTGGTGCTGGAAACCCGATCCTCAGTTCCCAGTTCTTAGAAGCTCACAGCTGTCCCGGGAGTTGGGAGGCCCCGGCAGGCAGTCTGTGTGACTTCTCCTGCTGTGTTAGGGCCATGCTGGTGAAGTGAGTATCCTCTCCTGCCCTGTCCAGGGGAGAGGACGGAGGGCAGGTGAGGAAAGGCCACCTGCCTGCTCTCTTCCTTTAACAGGTGGCTCCCAAACCTGGCTGACCATCACAGCTGCAGGGAATCTACTAAAAATGCAAGCTTCAAAGCCCCAAGGTGAGCATGGGTGAGTTCTTCTGGGCTAGGGTCTGGGAATCTGGATTTTAAATGAGCTCTTTAGGTCTGCGTGTTTTAATAATTAATGACTTGCTGTAGATACATTTTACATCATCACTCAGCACACAGACACCGCACACATACACATATACTAAAACAAAAATGTCTCAAAACAATAATCACTCTTACAGTGTGTGTGATCGCACTGATATTTTCTATTGTCTTCTGAGCCATGATGTGCCATTTAACTAAACAAATCAATGACCAGCACACCCCACTACACTGGTTTCATGGCTCATCGTTCCATCTGCGCTGCCCTGTGGTTCTGCTTACAATCAGATTGGGGACCACACCTCCAAGCTTAGCGGGGGACAGGCCAAAGGTTCCCTGTAACTTTCCCTCACACCCCAGTCCTCACTCAGGTCAAAGGCAACGGAGTCTTGGGTACATTTGTAAATAATATGGTGGAGGAATCCTCTGTAGAAGCTCTCAGGAGAACTGGCTATCGCCTCCCAACTCCAGCTGATAATTAGGCCGTCAAATGCCTTTTGCTCTTAATGCAAGGGCTCCCCCTGGTGCCTTCAGACCAGCCTACAAGGCGGAGGGTGATGGAGTAGGTCAGAAGGCTCTCACCTCCCAGGACCTGGCAGCCCTGGGAGCTCAGTGCTTTTTGGTTTGGTTCAGAACAAGTTACAATGGGAGGTCATAGGATGTAGTAGGCACCGATTGTTGGTAGCTGTTACGAGTGTTTTGCAAGTGGGCTTAAGAACCATGACTCTTGGAACTCCGTAGGGTCCCTCGTTATACCTTATGATCCTTGAGATACCAACCTCAGTTTCCCCACTAGCTGTTGGCCTTGGGAATGTAAGCGATCCCCTCTGAGATGTATGTTCCTCATCTATAACACTAGATAAGAGGGCTGGAAGGGTTGGCCTAAAGATTAACGTGCCATGTGAAAACCTCTACAGTGCTTAGCACTAAATAGGCACCAAAAATCTCAGTTCCTCTTCCTTTCCTCTCCTCCTCAAGTAATGGCGGCTGTGTCAGTGTCACAATGTGCACGCTACACTTGGATGTGAGAACAGAGTAGCACTGCTTTATTTCCCTGTAAGGATCCCATTTTGCTCATGAGCCCCCATCCCTTGAGGAGCAGGTCCCCGCACCCAGCTTGACACAAGGAGAACTCACACATGCTTATGGGGGAGGGTGGAGACAGAAGAGGCCGGAACAAAGTGCAGACATCGTGGGGAGGGCTTTGGATGTGAGATTTGGGGTTTGGCCTAAGTTTAGCCAGATCTCGTTAGAACTTAGGAATAAATAATTCACTTGAATAAAGAAGTATGAGATCCTACTCTATCCACAAGGTGCTTTGGTGGCCTGCTCTTGGCTTCTGGCCAGGAAGACTCTCTCTGTGATCTCCACTTAAACACTGGGCCAGGAAATGACTGAGCGTCTGCTACCTGCTGGGAACAGTGTCCTAGACCTCACAAACATCACCTTAATTAGTCCTTATCATGATCCTCATTTTCCAGTTGAGGAGACTGAGGCAAATACGAGTTAAGTCACAGATTCAGGGGGAGGCAGTTAGCAAGTGAAAGAGCAGACATTCCAGTCCAGGCAGTCTGGTTCCAGAGGCCACACTAACAACCACTCTGGTTGCTTCCATTTAAATCTTAGAGAAATGAAGAATAATAGACTCACAGAATCTGAGAGATCGAAGGGTTCTTTGAAGCAATTTTTTCCAAACTCAGTTTTGAAAGAAGTCAGTGAGAAAGCTTAGCAGATGCCCCGGCTGAAGTTAGGCTCAAAAATCTTCTAGACCGTTTCTGTCTTTCAAGCCCCTAGCTTCAGTTTGCCTCTCCTGGTAATGGGGATGATGTGCCATACTCTCCAGTGAGGTCCCATCCATTCTTTGGCATACTGAGCAGTAGAAATCAGTATTTCCAGCACATTCTTGATGCTTCCTAACCTTACTTTCAGTCTCAGATATTGCTGGTAGCTTTTCAGTGTTTCCATTCATGTCTCAGTCTTTCATTTCTTGGCAAACATATTGCTTACACTTTTCACCATAAGTAATGGTTTGTAGCAGAATACTCTGATGTGAAAAAGAATTTAAAGGGGGCCGGCATCGTGGCGTAGCGGTTAAATGCGCGTGCTCCGCTGCTGGCGACCCGGGTTCGGATCCCGGGCGTGCACTGACACTCTGCTTGTCAGGCCATGCTGTGACGTGTCCCATATAAAGTGGAGGAAGATGGGCACGGATGTTAGCTCAGGGCCAGTCTTCCTCAGCAAAAAGAGGAGGATTGGCATGGACGTTAGCTTAGGGCTGATCTTGCTCACAAAAAAAAAAAAAGAATTTAAAAAATATCCAAAAATGGGAAATCATGTGCATTCATCTCTTCCCAGGGTAAACTTTGAGCACCATATGTTATATGATGACAAAGCCAGAGCACATAGATTGATTGTCAGGATTAGGATGGTGCTGCTAGAGTAACCTATTATTAATATTAAAATTATTATTAGTTACATTAATCATTTCTGATGATTTCCAATATAACGTGTAATTTATTTATGTATAATTTATATCCTGACTACTTTCAAAAGGGAGAGAAGGAAAGAGGAAAGGAACTTAAATTTATGGAGAGTCTATTGTGTCACAAGCTACACAGTGTGCATATATTTTCTTCTATTCCTCATGACAATGTGGTGAGATAAGAGATGTTATCCTTAGTTGACAAGTAAAGAAATATGAGGCTCAGGAAGGTTAAGGCGAATGCCCTGGCCTTGCAGAGTACCAGTCTCATTCTCTATTTGGACTCTGCCCTGCTCTAGTCCATTGCTCCTTCCTCCACTCCGTGCTGCCCTAGAAGGACTGGGGAGTGGACAATACAAAGCCGAGTAAAAGAGGATGGTTAAAAGTGAAGATAGGGGCCGGCCCCGTGGCACAGCGGTTAAGTGCGCATGCTCCGCTGTGGCAGCCTGGGGTTCGCAGGTTCAGATCCCAGGCGTGCACCAACACACCGCTTGCTAAGCCATGGTGTGGTGGCATCCCATATAAAGTAGAGGAGGATGTGCACAGATGTTAGCCCAGGGCCAGTCTTCCTCAAGAAAAAAGGGGAGGATTGGCATCGGATGTTAGCTCAGGGCTAGTCCTCCTCACAAAAAAAAAAAAAAACAAAGTGATGATAATCACCATACAGAGGACAGGGTGGGTGGGGAGGTAGGAAAGGATGGATAAACAGTGCAGAAATATGGGACGATTACCAAAAGGTATACAATTATTTAAAGATAAATTATTTAAAGATAAAATGCCTAAAATTATCTTGGGAGGTATGTGGGTTCAAGAAAGGATCTGCTTCCTTCTTACCAATTTGTGAAAACTGTCATCCAGCTGGTTTCTCTTTTACCTTGAAGGAAACTCACATCTCAATTTTGCGCTTATCTAAGTAATCATCTGAATAGTATATCATAATTTAGTAGAACTTTCTTGAAGGATGCTAAGCAAACATGACCAAGGCAAGTTGCTTTCCTTTTAACAGCCTTTTAACAAGAATCTGAGCACCTACTTTTTGCCAGGGACTGTCTTGCAGCTGGGGAGTATAGCAACGCCTTAGGTTCTTGTAAGGCAACCATCATCCTCTGCTAACGCCAGTTACATTATGAATGCATCAGTCAGATGAATTATTAAGATGCTTTCTGATATGCTTATCTTGGTCAGATCAAAGGAAGACCATTCCCCTGTGGGAAGGAAATGGGGCTTGCATGGAATTAGGGAATTGTTCCCAATATCAACCACTCCCATGTCCCATCATCCAGAAAAGTGCGTCCTCAGATGGAAAATTCAGGCAGGGAACCCTCTATCTGTCTTTGGGTCTTGTTTTCTTGGGTCTGGGCTTCAAGGCTTAGTGATACCACCTGACTGCAGTGCTGGGAGGCTCAGAGTGGCAAGATGTAGGGGTGTGGGTCTCTCCACAACATCCACACGTCACTTGGTATGTGACTTAGGACTAACAATTGGGTAGCTGATTTCATATGTATTTGAAAGCTCCATCA